AAGCTGTTCACCAGACTCAAGAGAATGAAGAAGTTAATATTGGAGATTGACAGTAGAGTGGCTTCATAGGAAAAATTGCAGCCTCTGTCTTCGATACGTTATCTTCCCTTGCAGGAAGTTCTGCAAAGAAGGTTCAGAAGACACAGAAGGGCCAGAGAAATGAGAGGACAACAGTGAAATAAGCAACTTGACAAGAGTTGAGGCGGCCTAGCTCTCTTCCCCTACTTGAATCAGAGTCCCATTGATAAGCTTGATTTTGGACCAACTGCTAGGCATGCTGAGGGCCATCCCAGCTGAAGAGTATAAGCAGGAATGTCTATGGAAAAATGCCAGTGCTGACAAGGATGGCCAAGAGGATGGCCAAGTGCCCAGATGGAAAGAGAAGTGGACACACTTCTCATCTGATTCCTCTCTTTAGATAATACTAGAAACACAGTGTGAGTTTTCCAATTCACATCTGAGCTATAAACTCCAGGACTTTCGCTAATCATAGTTTCTACTGTTTCTTGTTCCAGAAGCTTTTTCTTTCCTTGGTACATACCCTACTCAAACTCAGACCACCATCTGAGGTTGAGATGAGTAGCCACAAATGTGGGAAGTGAAGAAAAAGCTATTCTGGGGCCTGGGTACTCACCCTGGCTATTGTTCCAGGCTGTTCTGTCTGCAGCAGAGTGACCGAGATTTATCTCCCTGCACAGGGAGCTGTAACAGCAGCATCTGTCTCCAGGGAAGATAAAAGTGACAGAGGTCTTCCACTCAGGTCCTCCAGGAATGGGAAAGTTGGAGCTGGCTTTGAAATCCAGGGGAAGGGAGTTCAGATCATAGACTTCAGAGCAATCCATTAAATTCTAGTTGTTTTCAGAGACTAGTAGCATCCATGGCCCATATGAATTTGAAATCCTTTTGATTGAATTCCTGAAGCATCTTTGGGGTCAGTGCACAGGATAAGTCCTACAGGATTTTTCTGAATTTTCATAGGGTAGGCATAAGGAACAATGGGTTTGGAACCCAGTGGAGGTCAAACCCAGTGTAAAGAAGTCTGGAAAATCTTTAGAAGAAGTAGCTTATGGACAGCTTTCTAAACAGCCTAGACTGTGCTGAGTTATTAGCTCTCATTCTGAGACGACTAGGAGTAAAATTTTGAATCTCTTAAGTGATTCTGAGACATGGCAATCTTAGGATTGACCTAACCAATCAAGCAAGTGTAATAATGACAAAATTTGGGCAATATAAAAAGTGTGACTAACAAGCCAGTCAGACTTTCACCACAGCATCTGACTCCTGAGTCTTCATTTGGTAAAATCGAACATTTGGAATTTTGTTATCTCTTGGGATCTTTTTGTTTTCTAAAGAGACAGAAAGGGAGTAAATCCAGATGGGAAAGGACAGGGTGGGGATTGGTGGGGGTGGGGGAGGTCTGGAAGGAAAAGGAGAGGAAATTGCAATCAGAATATATTGTATGAGAAAAGAATCTATTTTCAATGACGGAGAAAACCCAACAGTGACAATAATTATAATATATTGTAGACTTGAAATTGTTGGAGGATAGACCTTAAATGTCCTCACCACAAAAATGACAACTGTGAGATGACGGGTATATTAATTGGCGTTTGTCAACCATTTCACAGTAGATACATATGCAAGAACATGTGTTAGCACAGTACAGACACAGTTTTGTCAGTTATTTCTTAATACATCTGTAAAATATTGTTTTGTCAGCCTTATCTCCTGTTTTATTTTTGTTTTTTTTTAATTTTTTTTAACTTTTCGTCTGTTCATTGTGAATTTTATATTGTGCACCCAAATCCCACGTATCTCCACTTCTCTTGATACCTCCCCTCAACCCTTGTAACCTCCCCTGAATGGAGAAAAAGAAATCTCATTGTGGAAGCTGCTGTGTGTCAAAGTGTGTCCCACAGTATACCCTATAGTCCATATTTCTTTGCTTGCAAATGTTCATTGTAATGAGTTGTTGGTCACGTACAAGGCCTTTGGTTTCTGTTGTACTATCAATACTGGAACCTCGCTGGGACTCCCCTTAAGATATCCTGTTGTTGCTCAGTGTCATGGAGATCCTGTAGTTTTTGATCTGTAGGTCTGGCCCTGTCATGTACTTCAGCAGTTCATTGATGCGGTAGATATTGGGACAAGACAGTTCAAAGCCCTGGATTTGGGCCTGAGAGGTATCTGATCTGGTCAGCCCACCAGGTCTCCTGCACCCACACCACCAGGGCAAGCTATCCTGCCCTGCCCTGGCTGGCCCATGGACCAGCAAAGGACAGAGCCAGTTCTCCCACTCTCATGCCCTTGGGGCTGGCTCATCTTCCACGCTATCAGGGCCAGGTCTACTGAGCTGCCCAGGTGAAGTGCAGGGCCTGCTCTCCTGAGTGCTGCAACAGGAGAAGGGCAGTGACAGCATTCCTGCTCTCATGACATCATGGGACCATCTCTCCTGCCTGCTACATGAGAGGAAGGCAAAAAGAAGGGGAGGAATCTCTTTCCCTTGTCTGTATCACTGCCCAGAAGAGAAGAGGCAGGCCCGACTCTCCTGTGCTCATACCCTCTGGGCAGCAGCTCACCCACAACTCCTGCAGCGGGCAGGGGCCCTCTCTCCAGAGTACAGTAGCTGACTAGGAGTGGGGTCATCTTTCTTGCTTTCACATCCCTGGGCTAACTCTCCTAGGATGCTCAGGCAAGGGATGGGGTCAGTTCCACACAGTCCTCAGACATCAACATATCCCTAGAGCAGGAACACTTGTCTGGCCTTTGGTGGAAACAGACCTCTGCTGCTACAGGGATGGACTCAGATATGATCTCTGGTAGCAGCACAGGCCAAGATCCTACCATGGTCCCAGGTGGTATCACTGGCTATTCACATCAGGCTGTTCCTCACTACCCTTAAGTCTCCAGTTCTGCCTCTCTTCATTGTGCCCATATCTTTCTCTTTCTCTTCTATTTTCCTACCACTTCCTTGTTCCTCTTCTTTTTTTAATTTTAGTTCTTCTTTTTATTGGATATTTTATTTACATTTCAGATGTTATCCCCTTACCCTATTTCCCTCCCCTCCCACCCAGGAACCCCCCTATCCCATCGCCCCTCCTCCTGGTTCTATGAGGATGTGCCCCCCCACTCCCACCTCCCCACCCTCAAATTCCCCCACACATGGCATCCAGCCTTCATGGGACCAAGGATCTCTTCTCCCACCTATACCTAACAGGACCATCCTCCTCTACATATACAGCTGGAGCCATGGGTCCCTCCCTAGGTGTCCCCAGGATGGTGGTTTAGACCCTGAGTGCTTTGGTTGATTGCTATTGTTGCTCTCCTCATGAGGTCACGAACTCTTTCAGCTTCTTCAGTCTTCACTCTAACTCCTCCATTGGGAACCCCATGATCAATTCAATAGTTAGCTGTGAGCATCTGCCTCTGACTATGTCAGACTCTTGCAGACCTCTAAGAAGACAGCTATATCAGGCTCCTGTCAGCATGCACTTCCCGACATCCACATTAGCTTCTACCTTTGGTGAATGCACATGGGATGGATACCCAGGTGGAATTGTCTCCAGACGGCCCCTCCTTCAGTTTCTGTCCCACACTGTCTCCATATTTGCTCCTTTGAGTATTTTGTCATTCCTTCTAAGAAAGACTGAAGCACCCACACTTTATCTTCCTTCTTCATGAGCTTATGTGGTCTGTGAGTTGAATCTTTGGTATTTCAAGCTTCTGGGCTAAAATGCAATAATCAGTGAGTGAATACCATGTGTGTTCATTTGTGATTGGGTCATCTCACTCAGGATGATATTTTCTAGTTCTATCCATTTACCTAAGAATTTCTCGAATTCATTGTTTTTAATAGCTGAGTGATATTCCATTGTGTAAATGTAACACAGTTTTTGTAACCATTCCTCTGTTGAAGGACATCTGGGTTCTTTCCAGCATCTGGCTATTATAAATAAAGCTACTATGAACATAGTGGAGCATGTCCTTGTTATATGTTAGAGCATCTTCTGGGTATATGCCCAGGAGTGTTATAGCTGGGTCCTCAGGTATGCTATGTCCAGTTTTCTGAGGAACTGCCAGACTGATTTCCAGAATGGTTTCACCATCTTGCAATCCCACCAACAATGGAGGAGTGTTCCTCTTTCTCCACATCCTTGCCAGCATCTACTATCATGTGAGTTTTCATCTTAGCCATTCTGACTGGTGTGAGGTGGAATCTCAGGGTTGTTTTGATTTGCATTTCACTGATGACTAAGGATGCTGAACATTTCTTTAGGTGCTTCTTGGCCATTCGAGTTTCCTCAGTTGAGAATTCTTTGTTTAGTTCTATGCCTCATCTTTTAAATTGGTACAGAGACAGGCAGGAAGATCAATGAAATAGAATTGAAGACCCAGAAATGAACCTCCACACTTATGATCACTTGATCTTTGACAAAGGAGCTAAAACCATCCAGTGGAAAAAGAACAGCATTTTCAACAAATGGTGCTGGTTCAACTGGAGATTAGCATGTAGAAGAATGCAAATCGATCCATTCTTATCTCCTTGTACAGAGCTCAAGTCCAGGTGGATAAAGGACCTCCACATAAAACCAGATACACTGAAACTAATAGAAGAGAAGGTGGGGAAGACCCTTAAATACCTAGGCACAGGGGAAAAGTTTCTGAACAGAACACCAATGGCTTATGCTCTAAGATCAAGAATTGACAAATGAGACTTCATAAAATTGCAAAGTTTCTGTAAGGCAAAGGACACTGTCAATAGGACAAAATGACAGCCAACACATTGGGAAAAGATCTTTACCAATCCACAACCAATAAAGGACTAATATCCAATACATACAAAGACCTCAAGAAATTAGACTCCAGACAACCAAATAATCCTTGCTCCTCTTAATGGCACCTGTGGCCTCTGAGTGTCTGGGTTTATCTCAAGAGTGGTCTCAGGAGTGCCAACCTATCCCCCCCACCCCTGGCATTATGGCACCAGGTAGGAGTCTCGGAGTGTTAGGCTACTAATAATTCAGATGTTCGCAGGGCAGAACACCAAAGGTAGACATAATATCTTTCCTTTCTGACACCTGCTGGTGCACTTGTAGCACAGCATCACACCTGCAAAGCCTCTAGAGGAATTATTTTTAAGCCACTTGAAATCTTATTCCAGCCACTGCTGTGGGTATCAGTTCTTAGCAGACTTTAGTCACCTTAATTCACTCTTACTAAGGTCCTATGTCCTGTATCCTCTGCTTTCTCCTGGCTTCTCCTGTGATGATACAGTATGAGTGGCCCATTGAGATTCACTGGATACTTAGGCAGAGACTGTTTACCAGTACTTGAAGCTACTGTTTAGTAGAATCCAAAAGGGAAAACAATGCCCTTCCACCCACAAGGTAGTTTATTCTGTGACAGTTAAGGGAGTTCTGTATGACCTAGCAACTCTTGCCTAACAAGTGAGCAGCTCCATGCTGCATTTTATTTAGTTCTTTCTTTTCTCTGCCTCAGTCTTGCTGTGGTTTATCGCTGGTCACTGGAATGGACTGCTGCTTGTACTGTGTCAGCGTGGCCACTGTAATGGGAAGTTTTTTTTCCATTTGCTTTTCCTAACTTTAATCTGGTTTCAGCCTAAATATCCCCTTATGACCAGTTCAGTTTTTCCAACCTTCAAACTGCTTTCTCTTTCCTTGGTGTGGTTGATGAACTTTTAAAAAGCTCATTATGAACTATTTTGTTGTGGTCTCAATGTTCATAACTTTAATGTTTCAGGCCCTAGGATGTTGTATAAAGGGTTTATCTCTGAATACCATTAAATATGTATACAATGTATATTATATATGCTTTAAAATGTATCCCCTATTTTTTTAAAGATGAGAAATGAATACTTCTTATTAACTATGAGCTACAAGAATTAGTGACTAATGTCAGAAAGAATTCCAAATATGTGATAGGAAGCTGATAAAATTTTCACATTTTATGTTTCCGGCCATGGGATGATGTATAAAGTATTCTGAATATTTATCTTTGAATCACATTAAAGATGTAGACAAAGTATATATGTTTTAAAATGTAATGAAACATATTCTTACATATAATTAGTATGTATAATTAGTATGAACTATGCATAAGCCGCAAGAGTCGGTGGTGATTGTTGTCAGAGTTCCTCATATGTGATAGGAAGCTGGTAAAATACAGTTGTAAATGTACATTAAGTGTAAATCTTCTCCAATAATAATAAAACCAACCCAGGGAAAGCTCTATTTCCAGTAATAAACACATTATGTTCTCTCACTTCTAATCAAGCTCAACTATGTAAATAATACAGCCCAGAGATGAGGATTACATGATATCATGGAGAGACGTGAGCTTCTCTATCCTAAGGCAAACTTGTGCTATGGCTCTCAAGGGAACTGGTTACCTAAATGAGTGCCCTGCCCTACCAAGCCAACATAAACATGGCTGGGAACAGGGCAGTGCTTTTATGGTTATCTGTCCCTGGAGACACTGTTTTCTGGGAAAGACAGTCTCACTGTAGTGACCATTTGCTTGAGAGTCCCAGTTTCAGTGGTCTCTCAGAGAAGAAACAGCTTGGAGCCGTGTGCCAGCTGACTATGCTTCCCAAATGCAGAAGTCCTTCCAGGTAATGGGAACAGAAAGACAAACACTCTCCCAGGATCCTGATTTGTATAGCTAAGTTGTAACTGTGGTCACTGCCTCTCACTTTAATTTGCCATCTTTTGAAGTGCAACCACATTTTCTTGGGACAGCTTTGGAAGTTGGCCTGCTCTCCCATCTCCAGTGAACTGTCAATCTCTTCCACTCCATCTCTATCTCATTGAAATCCCATTTCTATCACCCATTGTGCTGTTTTCCATTTCCCACTCATTCAAACTAGTGTTTGTATGTAAGGAGGAAAGAGTCAGGAAATGAATTGGGGGGAAATAAAGGATAAATGAGATCCAGAAGAGAGATGGAGAACTTGCAAGTCCATTAATTTTTTTTTATTTTACCCTTTGTGTATACAAGTGTTTTGCCTGTGTACTACATGTGTGCTTATTCTTGTAGAGGCCAGAAAAGAATATTAGAATCTCTGGAAACTGGAATAATAGACCATTTTAAGTTGTTGTGTAGGAGACAGTAATTGAACCTGTGTCCTCTGGAAGAGCAGCCAGTGTTCTTAACTGCTCAGCCACCTATCATGCCCTCAACAAGTCCTGTTTTCAAATTCCAAGCTTTCAGGACACTATCACCAAGTGAATGACACTCAGAGGGCTGAGACAGAAGGTTGGCTATGTACATAGACCTTTGCTTGCTGTGACTTCAATGTCCATTCATATTCCTTTACCTCATTGTTATGAATCAACATTTTTGCCTGCTCCCATAGTAATGTGACAAGTGTTTGTTGAGAGCACACTAAATACTGAATACTGTGTTAAGTGTTCACCAAGGATTATTGGACCTGATTCTCACAAAAGCACTACCAGGTGAGAATGGTCATTAACTCTGGAAAGAAGGAGCCAGTCCAAAGAGTGAATTGACTTGATCACTCATACAGCAGCTGTTCTTCCTATTGGGCTCAACTTCCATTTAGAGAGCCTTCGAATGTTTCCTGTGGTGGGAAATTCTGTCTCTTGGAGCAGTTTTAATTTTTTTGGAAAGAGCCATAATTGGTATTAACAGAGTGCAGGAGATTAGATTGAGAAATGCCATGTTTGGGCAAAGAACAGGTACAGGCATAGGGAAGGAGCCTGCCTCTCATGTAGGCCAGAGTGCAACTTCCATGGAGTGTCCTGAGTTGATATTGTGAGAGTCTGTAAGGCTTGCTAGTGATATTAATTGAACAGCGTATTTGAAATGTGGCAGGAGCTTAGAGATTATTTTACTCAATCACAACCTTTCACTGATGAGACTGCATGAACTAGTGAACATCATTCATCTAGTGTCAGAGTGAAAATGTAGCTCAGAGCCACCAAATTCCAACCCATGGCTCTGTAATACCTTTGTGTGGGGTTAAGTAAGGCAATTTTTGTGCTTTTCGGCATATTCTTCTTTGTCATTGTCCTGGTTAAGGTTTCATTGCTGTGAAGAGACACCATGACCAAGGCAACTCTTCTTTTTTTTATTGGATATTTTATTTATTTACAATACAGATGTCATCCCCTTTCCCCATTTCCCCTCCCTAGACCTGCCTATCCTATAACCCCTTTTCCTTTATGCTTTAATACCATTTTGATTACATAGTTCTAGATTGAGGGTCTAGCAATACAATAGATGCAAATAGTCAAGGAACAAGCAATACAATAAAAACAAATAGTAAAAGAAAAAGCAAGGCGTTAAACCCAATTACATGAATACTTGAATGATCACTATTTCTAAAGGCTTATCAGGATGACCAAAGTATCTGAGCCTAGCCCTGTCCTAGCCCAAGGTCATTTTCATGTCTGATGTCTACTTCCTTGTTCTAGCCTAAAATTTAGATTCCTGCCTGAAATTGCTTCTTTGTTCTAGCCTAATTTTTAGATTCCTGCCTGAAGCCTACTTCCTTGTCCTTGGTCAATGTCATATTTCTGCCAAGCAACCCATTTCCTTGTCCTTGGCCCATGTCAGATTCTTACCAAGTAGCCCCAAAGGCTCTCCACCTCTCCCCTTTTTTATTTAATTAACAAGACTGAGCCTGTCTTAGGTCATTCTGACAAGAATGCCTTCCTTACCTGTCATGGAATATGCATTATCAAAAGCAATGCACTTATGTCTTAGGTTGATAAGGCTCTGTGCAGAATCTTACCATCTTTGGCTTGCCAGCCTTTTAAATTAATAACTCTGTCTGGGGGTCCATTATCAATTTCAAGTCATGTACTTTGGCTGCCAGCCAAGGCAACTCTTATAAGGAAAACTTTTAATTGGGGATGGCTTACAGTATCAGAAGTTCAGTCCATTATCATCATGGCAGGAAGCATGGCAGCCTTCAGGCAGACATGGTGTTGGAGAAGGAACTGAGAGTTCTACCTTTTGATCCAAAGGCAGCCAGTATAAGGGTCTCTTCTGCACTGGGTGGAGCTTGAGCCTAGGACCTTAAAGCCCAATCCCACAGTGATGCACTTCCTCCAACAAGGCCATGCATACTCCAACAATAGTAGCAGTCCTAATAGCAGCACTTCCCATGGACCAAGCATATTTAAACCACCACAATCATCCTCTGAGGGAACATAATATGGGATAGAAGAGTAGAAAGTTTTTTCTCTGTTCTCTCTCTCTCTCTCTCTCTCTCTGTCTCTTCCTCTCTCTATAGCAGGATATTTATTCTGCTACATTGTATTCATAGTGGAGCTCAGTGATTAGACAGTAGAAGAGGAGGTGGAGCTGGGAGAGGAGAAAAGAGAAAAGGGAGGGGAAGAAAAAAAGGAAGGGGAGGGGAGAAAGAGAGGAAGGGGAGGAGAAGAAAGAGGCTATCAGCCATGGAGAACCACTGATGGATCTAAAGCTGTCCTGGGTAGCAACTTCTATCAAAAGGTTCGATATTGGGTGACATCTCTAATTGTGTGGGCATCTTGTTAATTGAGCATTTCTAAATATATAAATCCTTCAGGCAAATTAAGCTTTAAGAGTCTCATTTCTACCGAGTACTGTGAAGATGGCAGATATTGTCTGGGGTTCAGCTGGGCTTTGTGGATTTAGTGTGGTGGATTGGTAGAGTCATCCTCCATGCTAGCATCTCGTGGGTGCCAGGGCCTGCACATCTAGCTAGCTGGAGCCCGGGTCAGAGCCAAGGAGCAGCTGGAACATGGCAGCTGCCCAGGAACAAGTCAGACTGGGCACCGTTTTCTAACTATCACCCCTACACTCTCTCTTTCTCATATAATCTGTGGATTTACACTCACTACATAATTGAGAATGACCTTGGTCTCTCTGTACTCTGTCCTCCATATCAAAGTGCTGGGATTACATAGTGTGTTTTACCACCCCACCCCATGTACAGTTCTTCAAAACACCCCCAAAGCCTATGATTGACAACATTGTAATGTGTTGCTCTAGCCCTTCCCGCCTCCCCCCACCCCCAGGATGGTCCTTGTGGGAGGGGTTAAGAATGCATGGAATCAGTGACTCAGATTCCGGGAGCCAGGTGAGATGCAGAATCAGACT